GGTTTAGGATTCAGGGTTTAGGAGATTTTAGAGTTGGGGATTTGGGTTTGGAGGTTTGGGGGTTTGGTTCATTCAGGGCTTAGGATTTTGGGGGTTTGGTTTGGGGCTTAGGGCTGTGTGCCAACGGTTTCGAGTGAAAGGGGTCGGGACTTGGCTCTGCATGGATGTTTGTGCCGAGGGTTCTTTCAACGGGCTTCTATAACGCCGATAACGGCCTCCGGAAGGCTTTTTGGGGTTCAGGGTGGGGGGCTTAGGATTTAGCCTGGTTTGGGTGTAGGGTTAGTGCTGGGACAATGGGGTCTCGGGCTGAGGTTAGGAAATGGCAACGGCATTCAATGCTGCTCCTAGGCATCTGCAGTATCCTCAAACGCAGTAGGACTTCAAAACCCCGGAGCAACAAAACGTACGTTCCTGATACCGCCATGCACGATACTTACAGGCCGGACTTGAAATTTTAAATCGGTGTCGCCTCAAGGCCAATGTAGGGGCCTTAAAAAATTACCAATTGGGGATTTCCTTACTGCAAATATAGCATGATGGGCCCCATAACCCTATTCTAATTATAAAGGCCCCTGATTACACCCTAAACCCCTATTGTCGCCCTTATAGCCTTATAGTAACCCCTTTAAGGAACCCTATAAAAACCCTAGTCTAATTATTAAGGCCCCAGAGCCCTATTCTAATTATAAAGGCCCCTATATTACAAAACCTGAATCCACAAGAAACTCCGAGAGCCTAAGCCCGAGATGGCAAGTCCCATACGGTTTGTGGGTGAAGGAGTTTACCCATAGGCCCCATAGTAGTTCCTTTTTGGGGCCTAGCCATAGGCCTCATAGTAGTTTCTTTCGGGGCTCATATTTAGAATCCTCTAAGGTAATCCAAAAAAGGAACTACTATGGGGCCTATGGGTAGGGTTTAAGCACCTAGTAACCCTAAACCCTAAACCCTAAACCCTCAAGTAGTGGGGCCTTTGGCAACTTGTGGGCCCCACTTCTTCAAGGATATGTCGCTAGAAACTGCACCCGTGGCCCATACCCCGAGACGGAAAGTTTAAGGGATGCAAGGTTTTCGGGGTCTAGAGCTCTAGAGCTCAAGTAAGAGCTTAGGGGTTTGCGGTTTAGACACTAGGAGGGGCTTGAAGTTGTGTGCAACCGAACGAATGCCTATAGCCTAGGTAGCCTGAACCGAAACACGGACTGCCTGGAAGTTGTGTGTCTAACAAACGCCCAAGCCCCCGCGGGCCTCAGTCTGCAGATCACCTCCAGGAAGACCCGGAGAGTGCCCCTGGTTTTCTGGAGAGGCCTGGTGGTTTGGGCTCAGGGCATCTCTCGCGATTCATAATCTCGGAGGCTTTTTCGGGATTATTTTGGGGCCTACCCATAGGCTTCAGAGTAGTTCCTTTTTGGGGCTCATATTTAGAATCCTATAAGGTAATCCCAGAAAGGAACTCCCATGGGGCCTATGGGTAGGCCCTTAAACCCTAAACCAGGAAGTAAGGCAAGGTCTAGAGAGTGGAGTTTTAGATGGCTCAGATACGAGTGCCTAATGACCGGAAATGACACAAATGGACATGATCCTGTCAGTATGAACCCCTAAACCCTAAACCCTAAACCCTAAACCCTAAACCCTAAACCCTGAACTTCTAGAGCTCAGGGGTTCAGAATCCCTTGGTCCTGCTTCTGGTTCTTCAGATGGGCCCTGTTTTGGTGAGCATTTGCACCGGTTTAGGGTTTAGGGTTGAGGGTTTAGGGTTTAGGGAATTGAAACCAGGTGTGCCTTACAAAGAACTCCATAGACCTTATCAACAACATGACTACGTCCCCAGGTTGCCCTAAACCCCAAACCCCTAAACCCCAAACCCGAAACCCCAAAAACCCAAACCCCCAAAACCCCTCAACCCTAAACCGCAAACCCCTAAGGCAATAAACCCTAAATCCCAAAAGCCACAACCATAAACCCAGCCTTCGACTTTCCGAACCATGGGCACTGCTTCAGCATCCGGAGGCATGCCGAGAGACGCCTGGCAGCCATACACAAACTTACCCATAGGCCCCATCGTAGTTCCTTTTTGGGGTTCATATTTAGAATCCTATAAGGTAATCCCAAAAAGGAACTACTATGGGGCCTATGGGTAGAGACCTTGAGGATCCGGGATGAGGGCTTGAGGCTTGGGGTTTAGGAGTCGATAAGGATGCCTTGAATGGGATTCTACTGAAGGATTGAAGGGGTTCTATAAAGTTTTAGAGTCTAGGGACCCTAGCACTTAGATGTCAATTTTCACGTGGCATGCTTCTTGAAGCTTTCTTGTCTGGGGGCTCTTGATTGCAGCATGCACAAGCATCCTGCCATCTTTGATTGATTTTCGGCCCCTTGTAAGGAGTTACTTTCTGAAACTACTGAAGAAGAAGCGGTTGGAGCTCATTGAGTCTTGTCTGAAAAAGGAATGCGAGTGCAGGTGCTCATCTGTTCCTGCATAATGCACCTCTGCCACGCAGCAAGATCAGTAGCCACTGCTGTGTGATGCTTCTGCGCACTCAAGTAGCTCGAAACCCTATACCCTAAACCCTAAACCTTGACAGAACCGCTAAGTAGACGCATCCAAAAGCATTAAGCCGTCGACCCAGTCAACCCAATCGCTGCGGCACCTCGGCACAGGGCGTGCCGGAGCTTTCTCAGCCTGTGCCTGCAGACTGGTCGAACCTAATCAGGAGACCTAGCCTAGAGGGACCATATACCATACAGTGGTATATACTTTATAATAGTAGCTGCCAAAGACCCTCTTAGTCATGGTGTTGGGAGCTACCTCCAGAATAGCAGTATGCATATATGGATGGCTTGGGTAGAGCGGTGCAGCGGGTGTACGCTTTGTGAGGTGTTACGCTTGGGATTAAGGGTTTTGGCCTCTGCTACAGCAGTTATTGAGGGAGCGAGAATACAAAAAGGGGAGGCTGCTTCATTGGCATACATCCTCAAACCTAACTCAAACCCTAAACCCTAAACCTCAAACCCTGCAGCACTTCACCCACAACACTCGACCACAGATCCTTGACACCCAATATCTGTCGCCTGAAATCGGTACGGTGGCTGTCAGTCCCACCAGCTTCCTGGGATAAGAGGTTTAGAGTTTAAGGTTTAGGGTAGGGATAAGATGATAAGAATGTCCACATCTACTGCCACTATGGAATGAGGTCTCCAGCACCAACATGATAGTGATCTTTGCGTGGAAAAGGGCGATAACCAACACGGGGACTAGACACTAAACCCCAAGCCCGATATCCCAAAACCTACATCCTAAACCCCCAAACTGTACACCCTAAATTTCCGTAAACCCTAAACTCCACAGCAAGCCTAAATCAACCATTATAACCCCAACTCTAAACCCTAAACCCTAAAATCTAAGACCCTAAACCCTACAAACATCAATGAAGGAAAACCCTTGAGCCGACCTCTCCCTGGGGGAGGCAGCGTGCAGATCGACGCAGGCGCATGGCGTTTTCTTTGCTCCAGGTTGGCAAGGTACTAAAGGGAGCTGCAGTAGGGTTTAGGGTTCAGGGTTTTCATAGGGGTTAGGGTTCAGGATTTAAGGTTTAGGGTTTATATAGGGCTTTGGGTTCAGGGTTTAGGGTTCAGGAATTGCTTATCTTTGCTCCGAAGTTGGCGAGGTTCAGGGATGGAGGCTCAGGACTATCAGGTTCTATGAGGATTCCAGAAGTGCTGGATAAGGGCTTTCTGAGGTTGTACAGTGATTTTGGGACTTGGTGTCGTTCATTCTGCTTCCAACCAGACTCTACGCCCTGAGCCCGAAACCCCCTAAACCCTGTTGCCCTCCCGAGGGCTTGCTGCGGTCAGAGATCAACTGATGAGCGCAAGCATATGTTCGAAACTAACAGTCTCATTCCCTGTGCTCTTCCAGGTGGCAGGGTAAGGGCAACGCTCAGACCTACAAAGCATTTAGGGTTTATAGGGTTCAGGATGGTTTAGGTATATCAACGGTCCTGAGTCCTGGCCCACACTAAAGCCTAAACCCTGATCTCCGAAGCTAAAAATCGACATTGCTGCGTTTCCCATCGAACATGCGCTACTCTCACATGCTCTAGAAAGGGCATCTGACGACCCCCCCCCCCAATGTAGCCGGTATCTTATTATGATTTGAGGTATGTAGGTTCTTTTACTGTTCTTGAATAAATTACTTGTAATGCTAGAGTAACTACACTGTATTGGGCCCTCAGGGTATAGAACATCAGGGTAGAGGCAAATGTAAAGCCCCGAGCTCCTCTCGCTACGTTGCTGTAGGGTTGAGAGTAGATAGTGCTGGCCTACAACAAAATAGGGTTCGGGTTTCGGGTTTAAGACTTCTAAAGCTTACAGCGTGGGGTGTAGCTTTGGCATAGCAAAGTCAGGAGCCTGAAACCCCGAGGGCCCTAAACCCTAAAGGCCTAAATGCTAGAAACCCTTAAACCCTAAACCCTAAACGGGTTTAGGGTTTAGGGTTTAGGACCTTAAAAACCCAAAAGCTCTAGCTCCGCCTCCAACTCCGCGGCGCCATCGTGGTCTGTGGCGATCTGGGAATGGAAAGGAGTTGCTTGTCTTAAGGGGTTGCGTAGGGTTTGGAGGCTTTAGAACTTAGGGCCAAGGGGTTAAGGTTTGTGGATTTAAACTAGAGTCAACTAGAGCCGCCACATAGCCTATCCCAGCTCGAAATCGCTATGTCGAAGACCTGCACTGTCCATGGCCATGAACGGAACATCATAAGGCCTCACTCCCGAACCAGTCTAGAGGTAGGACTTGTTCCAACTATCCTGCTTTATTGTCCCTGCAAACTTGTACTAGAATGCACCGCCAATCAAATCGATTCGCAGTCAAATGCCTAACCAAGATCGTAGCGACAGCGGCCCTTTTGGGTACCTTGATTGAGGTTTCGGGGATCTTCGACGGGTTTTAGAGGGTTGTAAGGGTCTCTGAGGGTTTTACCATGGCTTACAAGGGTCTTGCGGTAGCATCTTAAGTTCGTGCATATCCATTCTGCAATGTTACGTTATGTAGTTATGGTATACTTTGTTATGCCATGATATGCTATACTATGCATTTTTGCGCGTGTATCTGTACCCGTAGGCCCCAAAGTAGTTCCCTTTGGGGGATTACCTTATAGGCTTCTAAATATGAACCCCCAAAAAGGAACTACTATGGGGACTATGTTGTGCTGTGTTGTGCTATGTTATGCACTGTTGTGCGCGTATCTGTAGTTTCAAGCATCTCTTCCTGCTCTTCCGTTCGCATCGGAAGTCCCAAGGTTTAGGCTTTTAGGGTTTAGGGTTTCCTATTTAGGGTTTAGGGTTTAGGCTTTTCGGGTTTCCGATTAAGGGTTTAGGGTTTAGGCTTTTAGGGTTTAGGGAGCCACTGAGAGACACATTGCGACTGCAACGCAATCCTAAACTCCAAAACCCTAGACCCAAAAGCCCCAAAGCCAAACACACTAAAGTATAATCACACCCTAAACCCCCAAAAATCCCTAAACCCTAAACCCTAAACCTTAAACCCTAAACTCATCCCTAAAACCCTAAACACCCCAACCCGAAGCCATGTAACCTTTTAAGCACAAGGGAGGCCTCCAGACCCAGGAGGGCCATAAGGTCGGCAAGTAGCTGCACGTGGCGGCCGTGGGGGGCCACCTGCAAACGCTTGGGCATACAGATTTTGGGTGGTTTTAGGGTTTAGGGTTTAGGGTTTAGGGTTTTGGGTAGTTCTCTGAATTAGGGTTCCTTTTTGGGTCCCCGCTATAGTACGGCACCCTTATAAAAAGGACCCCCAAAGGGACCCTAATTTAGAGAACTACCCGCATACAGATTTTGGGTAGTTCTCTGAATTAGGGTTTAGGGTTCAGGGTTTAGGGCTTTAGGGGTTTAGAGTAAAGGGGTTTAGGGTTTGGGGTCTTTTTAAGAGGGTGCCGTACTAATTATTTGGGGACCTCAAACGGGACCCTCATTTAGAGAACTACCCATTTAGGTTGTAGGTAGGCCGTTTCGGGTTTCGGGGTTGGGAGATTGGGGGTTTAGAAAGGGTTTGCGGGTTGTTTTGGGGCCTTGGGTTTAGCGGAGTAATGTAGAAGCCTTAATAATTAGACTACGGTTTGGGGGTAAATCATACTATAATTATAATAAAGAACCCCGAAAATAGTGTAGGTAATTATTACGGCCCCTGTTTTTGGCGGTCGCACGTTGAGGGGTTATGGCTTATCAGGGCTTTAGGACTTCGGGGTTGAGAGGTTTAGGGGTCGAATATAAAGCCTGAGCCTTAAACCCTAAAGGTTTTAGGGTTTAGGGTTTAGGGTTTAGGGTTTAAACCCTAAACCCTGAACCAGCTTAAACCCCTAAACCTCAAAATCCCCGACCCCCTAAACCTCTAAACCCTGAGAGTTCAAGGCCTTTCGGGCTCTCCAATCTCTCTTAATCCTATGTAGACCCCAGTAACCTGTGGGATTCAGGGATTGCCGGTTCAGTTTGAAGCCCATACTCGAAGGCCCCTGTAAAAAGTGTCCTTTATATTTTGTTTTGAAGCCGATACTCAAAGGTCAATATAAAAAGAGCCCTTTACATACGAATATACAAGTTGTTAAACTATAGTGTAAGTCATGACTAACCAGAAGCCCCTCCGCCTACATGCTAAAACCTTAACCCTCCAGCCGGCAAGTATGGACCAAGGGCTTCAGCGTAGATACTGAATGCATTGAAGGATAGGGTTCAGGATTGCAGGGTTTCGGGTGAAGGGGTGGTTCACTGATTCAACCAACATGCGAGCGAGCCCAACACAGACAATGAAGAACATAATCCCCATTAAGACAGCACTCCTCGACCCTAAGTACCCCTCGCCCCACAAAGCCCTATGACAACCCTGTAAAGTAAGAACCCAATTCAAGAACCTTGCGCCCCGCTTGACCCGCTTCCCCGGCAAAGTTTTGCAAGGGTTTTGCAAGAGTCACATACAGGTTTGTATGACTGTTGCAAGGTGCTCAGGTAAGGGCTATCTGAGGGTGTTGTCAAGTCTTGAGTCATGGCTTGCTGAGTTTTTCAGAATTAGTACGGCATAGGCATCCAAAGCGCTTACGTAGCCACGGCGCATCCCCGAATTCGGTCAGACAGGCGCATCCGCAGCTCTAGATCGCCAAGCAGTCAGGGCCGACAGCAAGGAACAAGGAAAGCAGCCCAGTGAGAACTTCCGCTCACCAATATCACGGTGTTACAAGGCTTCTATGCAGGTTTATAACGAGTTGTTTTGAGGGCTTGATTGAAACAGGGTCTACACACGTTTTATGATCTTTTCAGTGCTATTATAAGTTGCATGAGGCTTTATACGGACCTTGCTTTGTGGATAAGCACGATATGCTTGCGGGAAAGGTTGGCGAAGAAGTACTCTTCTGCCGCTGCTAGCACTAAGTTGAGGCATCGGGTCTGGAGTAGGGAGCCTGAGAAGGAAAGAACCGACCGCTGAATCGAAACCCTGGATGCATGGCTTCCAGCGCCTCCAACTCAAACGCAGGATCAGTTGGCTTCAGAAACCTCGGACATCGTTTAATTCTTCGTTCACTAGCTTGTCAATTGAGTAAGGCTGCAAGGTTTCGAGTCGGCTTCTGGGTTTCTGGGCTGCAAACCTTCAACACGGTGGCCACCACAAATATTCTTGGTCGCCAGGGCATCGTGCAACAACAAGAATATCCTGCCCTTTGTGAGCGACGAGGCTGTCAAGTACAGCCCCTCTCCTCCGAAACTCTAAATCCCAAAAACCAAACCCGAAAGGTCTCTGGAAGAACAGAATCACACCACAACAACAAAGAAACGCTGGACCCTTACCGCGAAAAGCCCGAAACCCTAAAAGCCTTAATCCCTAAACCCTGACCCTATAAACCCTAAGAGCCCTGAACCGTGAAACCCCTCAACACCCTGCAGAGCCAAGAATTAAACACGCTAAACCCTAAACCCTAAACCCAAGGAGCCCTAATATAGGGCGCCTCAATAATTACCTATACCCTTTTAGGGGTTCCTTATTATAATTACAGTATACTAGGCCCCAAAACCCTATTCTAAATATTATAAGGCCCCTACACCCTAAACCCCTATAGTAGCCCTTATAGTATCCCTTTAATAAACCCGTTAACGTTTTGAAAGGAACCCTATAAAAACCCTATTCTAATTATTCAAAAGGCCCCTACATTATTCTACATACTTTGGGGGTCCAGGTAGACCCCTCCAGTTAACCCTAAACCCTAAACATAAACCCTAAACCCGAAACCCAAAAAGAGCCGTGCTAAACCCTAAACCCTAAACCCAAAGAGCCCTAACATAGGGGGCCTCAATAGTTACCTATACTCTTTTAGGGGCTCCTTATTATAATTACAGTATACTAGGCCCCAAAACCCCTAGTCAAAGGCTGGCAGGAGACTCTCCGGACAGGACTTTGCCGTCCAGAATGGCTTTCAGTGCCTCGCCCCGCGGGCTTTTGGGTTTGGGGCCTTAAGAGGGCTTATAGGGCGTTTAGGGTGATTTGAGGGGTTTAAGTGTTTGGGTTGTAGGGGTTTTAGGATTTGTTTTTTTTGGGGGGGTGGCTTTTGCGTTTTATAGGGCTTTTGGGGGTTTATGGTGTAAGGGTTCCCTAAACCCTAAACCCAAAAACCTAAACCCTTAGGGTTTAGGGGCTTTTGACTTCTCTGGGTTTCGGTATGGAGGTCTTTGGGGCTTTGACGTTTGGGGTGTCGAGTTCGGGGTTTTGTTAAGGTTTGGGGCTGTAGTATTGGTGCTTTTTGGGCGTGCAGGGTCGCTGCGTGTTAGGCCTTGGGGCTTTTAGGCTAAGGGTTCAAGGGAGGTTTGAGTTTAAGGCTCCAGGAACTTCGGGGGTAAAGTATGTGGGGCTCTGGTCAGGTGTTTCTCGGCCATGGGTCATAGGGATTCCCTGGGCAGATAAACTCTAGAGTCTAGAGTGTCCATAGAGGTTCGCGAATGTAGAGTTGTTGAGGGTTTCGGGTTTTGATGGCTTATCTTACAACAAGATATTGAGGTGACAATAGGACAAGACTTGCAGCCACCACGAGCTACCAGCTAAACCCTAAACCCAAACCCCTGAACCCTAAACCCGGGTCTTTCGGCCATGTGCCAAAAGGACTCGAGGCTCATTGCAGAAATCTTTCCTTTTAGGGTTTATGTTGGGGTATGAGCCCCTCATAGGACCCTCGTAGAACCCCTGTAAGGCCGTTGTTATGAAAGCCTTCATGCAGATCAACTGTTCCATGTATCCCCGGTCCCCGCTCTGCAGCACCTCATTCTCGACCAGCTTCGGGTAGAGCTTCTCGTATTTCTGCTTCAGCCTGGCACTGAAGAGGTGAGGAGGTTGCGTCTTTCGGGGTCTTTGTAAGGATGTTATACTTTTTCCTTTTTCATGTTGTTCGTAGGGCTGCGGTGATTCAGGGAGCTGTCTTTCTTTACATTGAGAGGCCTACTTGATTTAGAAAGCCCCTGTAAGACGGACTTTAGTATTCACGATCGGTTGTTGGGGCTCGATAGTCTGAAACGTAGGTGCTGCTTCCTTGCTTTTGTTGGCGGGGTGCACCTCCAACCCTAAGCCCTAAACCCTAAACCCTAAGCCCTAAACCCTAAACCCTAAACCCGAAGCCCTAAACACTAAACACTAAACTCTAAACCCTAAACCCTGATACCTAAACCTAAACCCTAAACCCTAAACTCTAAACTCTAAACCCTGATGCCTAAACCTAAACCGTCAGAGGTTTTGGGTTGAGTGCTGCGCGCCAAACCCACCATCCTGCCACGTCTGCCCAGCTGCCGCACTTCCGCTGTATAATTCAGGGTCGTCTAGGCTTTAATGTTTTAGGGACTTGGGTGTGGGTTTAGTGGGTTTAGGGTTTAGGGCGTAGGGTCGTAAGGCTTTAATGTTTTAGGTTTTAGGGTTTGGGGTTTAGGGTCCCCTAATGGTTTCAAGTTCAGGGTTCTGAGTTCTGAGTTGCTTTGGGTTTAGACCCTAGCTTTTGGGTTCAGAAAGCTTGGGCTCCGGTCTGGGGGAGCAGGTTTGGCATCAGTAGCTTCTGCCTAGGATGTAAGGCATAATTACAATTGGGGGGCGGGAGGGGGTGGAAGAACTAGCACGTAATACTGTACCCCCGTTCTTCATAGCTTAGATTTTGGGTTGGAGCTGAGGACGTCGTGTTTGGGGCCAAGGCGTCAGGTCTGGTATAGACAGCTTTGGTCTTAAGGTTAGTTGAATAATATAGGCCTAAACCCTAAACCCTAAACCCTAAACCCTAAACCTTAAACCCTAAACCCTAAACTCTAAACCCTAAACCCTAAACGATCTAGGGTCTAAGTAATTCAAGCAGGGCTTCGGGGTTTTTATACGATAACTAAACTATAGTTAATATGGAACCTATAAGGCCCAAAGGAATACTGAACTAGGACTGTAAACCCTAAACCCTAAACCCTAAACCTTAAACCCTAAACCCTAAAACCCTAAAACCCTAAACCCTAAAGGCGTCGATAGTGGGGTGTTGGGGCACTGGGGAGCGATCTGAAAGATCCACCCAGCTAAACAAACTAAACCCGAAGAGAGCCCTCATAGAACCACCAGATTGGGTAGTTCTCTAAATTGGGGTCCCTTTTTGGGTCCCCATTATAGTACGGCACCCTTCTAAAAAGGACCCCCTAAAAGGGACCCTAATTTAGAGAACTGCCCAGATACCAACCCCCATGCAACCCCATACCAACCAAACACAAAAACCCTAACGAAACTTCCTCTACCCTTCCTGTTCCAACCGCTCCCCATCCTAAACCCTAAACCAAAGCCCTAGGCCCTAAACGGCCCTAGACCCTAAACCCGAAAGGCTTAACCTCCCGGACAAAAAAAGCATGCCGAAGGCGGCTTGTCGAACTCCGCTTGCTCCTTCTCCCGCCGTTCGGACTCCAAACGGGCCGCCTGGGGCTGTTTCTTTCCCTCATGTTGAAGACTTGAAGTTGAGGGTTTGATTGAGGTTTCGGGTTTGCATAGGGTGCTTTGGTTGTTTAGTTTAGGGGCTCTTTGGCTGTTTTAGGATTGGTTCTTTCGTTTGGGGGCTATCTGACTGTTTTAGGGCTGTGGAGGTATCATACAGGGTTCAAAAGAGGCTGTCTCATGGGTTCTCTTTGGAAACCATGTATGAGGTGTTCTCAGCGGACGCAGGTTTAGGGCTAGTAGACCCTAAACCGTGCAAGCCCATAAGGATTAGGGTTCACACGTCGCAACTGTCGTTTCACCAGCCCAATAAGCAAATTCGAAGATGTGTGGTACTGGTTGATCTGTAATAGTAGTGAGTATGCCTGTTGCCTTTTGGCCAAGCTCTGGACAACAAACCGAGGGTCCTGATTGTCTGTATATACCACCAGGATTATACATACATATATATATATATATATATATATTATATCTGTGCGTGTAAAGCCTATGCACTTAAGAAACCGACGTTGAACAACCGTTCGAAAACATCTGTTTGCACCCACCAAACGCCGAAACTAACAACCCTTCCAGAACCCTATGAACCTAGACATTTACTTATTTGCTTGGTTCTTCAATCATGGAACATAAAATACATAGTAACCTATATATATATATATGTATAGTATATGTAAATGTAAATGTATATGTATATACTTGTACATATATGTTTATATAGTAGCATACACACATACATATGAAATACAGACACACACTATATATATATATATATATACATATCAACATATGACGTAAATAGTTCGAAGCCCGTGAGTGACCTCCATGAGCTGCTCGTGCTCTTGATCCTTCAGCTTCTTGAGCTCGCGGCCTCAGGTTTTAGATATGTGTTTTGTGTGTGTTTTTTGCAATTTCTCTTTGAAAGGGGTGTTGAGGCATTTTTTTGTGAAGGGGTGAGGGCGGGGGGTTATGGTTCTGAGGCTTTTAGGGCTTGGGGTTCTGGTGGGCTTTGGGGTGTGAGTTAAGCTTTAAGCTTTCAACTTCCATCTTGGAGTCTTCGGTTGTTCGGGGGTTTAGGTTCCAGGGCTCCAGGTTTAGGGTTTTGGACTGCGCTTTTTGGGTTTATCTCCTTCTCCAACGGCTCGAATACGAAATTTGAACTTGAGGGGACTCAAGTTCAGGGATCTAAGTCAAACCCTCATTAAACCCTTAACCCTGTACGCCCTATAAGCCCTATACGCCCTGAACCCTAAACCCTGACCCTAAACCCCATAAGCCCTAAATGTTGCAAGTCAAACCAAAACTAAACCCTCAACCCTATAAGCTCCAATTGTTCAGGCGTGTAGGTGTTGGGAGTTGTGAGGCAGGGGCCTGAATAGTTAGAATAGGCTTTTGGGGCCTATTATACTATGAGTATATTAATGAGGACCCCCCCCCCCAAACAAAAATAGTATAGGATATTGTTAAAGGTCCCTCAGTAGGATGTCCGGAACCGAGAGGCGCGAGCCGTTAGGTTGCTCAGGTAGCTTAAAACTTTAGGGCTTCGTGAAATTTAGGGTTCAGGTTGAGGGGTTTAGGGTTTAGGGTTTAGGGGTGTAGGCGTTTAGGGTTTAGGTTTTACGGGTGTAGGGGTTTAGGGTTTAGGGTTTAGTTAGGGCTTTAGGGTTTAGGGTTTAGGGTTCCTCGGTCGTTCGGGCTAAGGGCGTCTACGGTTGGGGATTTAGAGGTCTGGATATTGGGGTTTGGGGCTGCGGGGGTGTAGGGTTTAGAACTTTCAGCTGCTGGCCCCGCAGGGTGTATAGGGCTTCTATGAGGCTTCTACAAGGTATATAGACCTTCTATAAAGCTCCTATAACGGTAACTACCCACCTGAAAATGTCCTAGATTCTGAGAGCGTGTGATGCCAGGGCTTTCGATTTGAAGTGTCGGGTTGTTGCGTCTTGCTGGAAGAACCAAGAAGGGCAGATCTGTGTTAGGCTTGATCTTCATTCCTGGGCCGGGGGAGGCAGCAGAAGAGTTTGGAACTCAGAGACCCTCAATCCTAAACCCTTACTGGCCACAAGTCCGAGGGCAGCTGTCAGGGTCGAAGATGCAAGGTTCAGGCTTGAATGTATCGAAGCTGTCGAAGATCAAGATATGGGTAGTTCTCTAAATTAGGGCCCCGTTTTAGGGTCCTTCTTACAAGGGTGCCGTACTGTATTGGGGAGCTGGAAAGGGACCCTAATTTAGAGAACTACCCATATATCTTGCGACATTTTACGGCTTGGCTTCAGGGTTTTGCGTTCAGGGTAGAGTATGGTATGCCGAAAAATCGCCCTACGCCCAGAACCCTAACTCTTAAACCGCAAGCCCTCGACCCGAAGCCCTAAACCCCGAGCTCTCAGCCCCAACCCTAAACCCTATATGCCCCTAAGCGCTACACCCTGTAGGCACTAAACCCCAAACCCAAAGCCCCTAAACCTAAATTCCCAACTCTGATCTGAGTTTATGATATATGTTATAGCAAAACTTCAGACGCCTTACTAGTCAGAATAGAATGTGGGGGAGATGACACTATATCTATATGAAGGGACCCTATAAGGAAGACTCTTCGAGTTATTAAACAGGTCTCTTATATTGCAGTGGAGCTCTGGCTGGGTAGGTGTGTCTGTGTGTTCGGGGTTCCTTCAAGTTTTAAGGGCTCTTCTTTCCCCACATTTACAAGGAATCATCCCAGTGCTTATTTGGTTTCTGTGGTAAGGCTTACTAAGCCGCATGATTCTCTGAAGCTCCTCTGTAGTTCTCGGGGTTTAAGGCTTCAGGACCAGCTTACTAAGGCCCATGATTATCTGAAGCTCCTCCATAGTTTTCGGGGTTTAAGGCTTCAGGACCCGAGCAAATGTTAGCCATGGCATCAGATCTGTTCCTTGCAGACCCGCGTGAACTTTCCCACATGCTTCGCACATCGAATGGGCCTGAAACTACGACGGAACTCACTGAAAGTCCAACTGTGGTTTGGGAGTTGTTCCTGGCGCGTCTCAGGATTCAGGTACAGCAAACGACCAATCTGTAGCTAGCTGGGTCCCACACCATGCATAATCATTGAGAAGGTGATGACATCATGCTTCACAATCTGGCCGAAAGAATGGTCTAGTTCAGGGTTCAGGGTCGAGGGCTAAGGGTCGGGTTTAGGGTTCTACCTATAGTCTCCATTGTAGTACCTTTTAGGGGATACCTTATGATTCCTTCTAGAATCCTTAATATATAGTTGGTTAAACAAAAAAGGAACTACAATGGAGACTATAGGTAGGTTCAGGGGCAAGATTTTAGGGAAAAGGGTATGGGTGTGAGTTTTTACACGAGGATTGAACAACGCAGGCTTTCTGGGATCTCCCTAGCCAACCTTAAATTACCATAACCTCCTTTTTTGTAGGTTCTTATCATAAACCTTATATTATAGAATTGATAGGGACCCTACAAAAAATAGGTTTTGGTAGCTTAAGGAATACTTGTCAGGCAGGCTGCAGCTGAACCCCCAAAGCACTGCGGCGGAAAACAGCCTCAAACCACCTAACGCCCTTAAACGGACAGAGACCTAAATCCCCAAATCAACAAACAAAGTAACGCCAGGGCTCCAATGGGAGTAGTGGCCAAGGGTTCATGGAAGGGCAAACCGACAAGTAGCTAAAACCGCCTATCAACAACACAAAACTCAAACCCTGAACAAGTAAACAAACGCCTGAAGGCATCGACCCCTAAGCATGTTCCGACCCAAACCCTTCCGACTTGTACACTGAAACCCCTTTACATGGATCGCTCCGAAGACACAACACCGCCAAAAGCCTAGCTTAACGGTATCCTACATCCTACTACAGTCTGACTGAACCACCACGCCTCCTTTAAAGGGCTACATACGGGTTCTATTGCAGCCATGTGGGGTTCAGGGTTTTGGGATGTTTTGGGTTTTCACAGCCTACTCACAGGCTCAGGGTCGTGAGATCCATAAGGGCTTCTTAACATTTGGGATAATTTGGGGGCCTTAAGTTTTTATAGGGTTCCTTTAAAGGGTTCCCTAAGGGGATACTATACGGGCTACTATACGGGTTTAGGGTGTAGGGGCCTTAATAATTAGAATAGGGTTTTGGCACACATTATACTATAATTATACTAAGTAACCCCAAAATAGTATCATTATTTATGAAGGCCCCTGCCTTCTGCTGGGGAATACTTACAATGTGTGGCTAACAGGTTCTTAGACGGAAATTAGCGCAACATGCTCACTCATGACTCGTGCCGACAAAATGTCACTGGGTGTCGCATGAACATCTCTTTGCGATTTTGGTCTTGAGGTCTACAAACTCGATTGGACGTAAACAGGGCTACCAACAGCATGTTATAGGATAGATAACGCTGCGCAGGTGCACTTGCAACACTATGTTCAACTTACCCAGACCTCTCAAAGGACCTCAACCGTAGGAACAATGAGCACACTTCGGATACCCTCGGAGGTGTTCTGTTTCAAAGATCGTTCCTGATTAAGTCGCCTCAGCCTCGAAGTGCGTGTTGCTTGGATTCTGCAACACCCCAAAATTTCAGCAAACACAAAGGGGCCTTAACAAGCAGAACCGGGCTGCTGCGGGTACTAATCATTCCTCAAACAAATGTCCCTGGAACCCTGGACCTTAAACCCTAAGTTTTAGTTGTGGCGACAGGGACTGCAAGGGGATGCGACTGCTAATCATTCAGACCTCTTCGTTCGGTGTTGGTGGTCTCAAGGGCTCGTGGCTTGGTGAACGTTGGGCTTAGGTTCTAGGGCTAAGAGTTCAGGTAGGTAGTATTATCAGGGGTACCCCTCAAAGGGCACCCCTTCTGAACCCTACTTTTGGCTCTCTTAAAACGGACCTTATTGAGAGGGTCTATATCCCCAAGGGTCCCCTTAATCCTAGCTCCCATCAGGGTTCAGGGATTGGAGTTCGGGGATTCTGGTTGAGGTCGAGGCCAACTTTGCAAGAGGTTCTAAGCCTATGAGATTGTCATAGTCAAGGGCCAAAACTGGTGGGTTGCTAGGGGTTGCAATATGGATTTAAGGCTGTGCAAACAGGGCAGCTGCACCGCATTGGCAAATTTGAACCAAAACTGATCGAAGGTGATGCCCTCGCCTGCCAGAGGGACCCATAGCCCTCCAGACTCCGAGTGAACCCTCAACTCCCCAGCAGAGCCTCGGCACTGCCAGAGTTTGAAGGCTTCTGGGTTAGGGTTCAGGGTTTAGGGTTTAGGGTTTAGGGTTTAGGGTTCAAGGTTTTAGGGTGCCACTGTAGCATACGAAACCCCTTAGATTTCTGAGCTATTTTAGGGCATCTCTCCATGATTGTCCAGGGGCCCTACCCAGCCAAAACATGACGCTGCAGCAAAGAAGGCTTCGACCCCCTAGAACTGTTTTCGAACTTAGGGTTTAGGGTTTAGGTTATTATGCGTGCAAACACACCCTAATGGCCTGAGGTGTTGGGTTGGTGGGGCAATGCGCAAACCTACATTATGCCCAAGCCCCTAGAAAGTTATCAAGCACGAACCCCTACACGCCAACGGCCCAAACCTTTGCAACCCCAGTTCCTAAACGTTAAACCGTAAACCTCCCGAACTCCAAAACGCAGGTCCAGTTTACAATTACACGGGCACCGAAGGTAAACTTCACGGGAAATAGGCATTCCACAAGCCCTACTCAGCGCTTTGGTTGAAGGGTATTTAAGGCTTAAGGCTCGGGTTGAAGGTTTTATGGTTAAGGCTTCGGTTTTACCTTTTTAGGTTTAAGGTTAAAGGGTTTAGTACTTAAGGTTTAAGGCAGGTTTAAGGCGTGCGATGGTTTGGGGTTTTCAGGTAGGGGTATAGAGTTTA